GAAACTTCCTGTCTCAGGATTCAGGTTCTCATAAACCACCTGAGTCCCAGCAGAGCCTTGAAGTGCTCTAACCTCTGCTGCTGCTTCTACGTCTGCTTCGCCCTCTGTTGTAGCTGCTGCTGCTGCTGCTTTCACTTTTACTCCTGTATCTGGGTCTCTTTCTTCTGCTAATGCTGCTGCTGCTGCTGCTGCTGCTGATTCTATGTTTTCCTTGCCCTCTGTTGTAGCTGCTACTTCTGCTGCTGCTGCTGCTTCTGCTGCTACTTCTGCTGCTACTTCTGCTGCTGCTTCTGCTGCTACTTCTGCTGCTACTTCTGCTGCTGCTGCTGCTTCTGCTGCTACTTCTGCTGCTGCTGCTGCTTCCTCCGCCTTGAGGCCAGTTGTTATTAATACAAACATTTGAAACTCTTCCCTGAGAGGAGCAGCTGTGGCACTCTAATTCTGTATTTTCACCAAAACAGCGGAAAATGTTTTTGAGACCAAGCCCGGAACTCCCGAGCTGTCTCAGTGCGTTTTTCAAATCCTCTTTGGTAGGAGGATCACCAAAGTTGGGCTGATCAAAGACTCTTGTAAACACGAAGGCATAATTATTTTTCCAACGTGCAAGGGCATTGTTTCTAAAGTATTTAAGGATGTTGTGCTTTCGATCGTCTGGGTTTGCACACTTGTCTCCACATGGGGAGAGGTAAGAGTAGATGAGCAGGAAGTTTCCCTCACTGTTTCTCCTCAATGTGCTCAACTCTCGCAGAACTAGAGGTTCTGCGTGTTGAACACCTGCTGCTTTGGCTACGATCACACTGTGGCCTTTGTACACCACATCACCCCCATTAATCATGTCTTCAACATTTCCACTGTAGCGGTCAAACTGTAGGGCGTTACCAATCGCGTTTTGGTCTCCGCTCAGTGGGATGTTCGCGGCCAGACAGAACTGTACGTTTATCCTGTACCTGTTGAAGGAGACAGATGCACAAACTGTAACACAGAACTGAGATGATTTGATTCAGAGAGGAAGGTTATTCAGAGTCTGAAACTCGGCTGAAGTGCTTTCTCCTCTTGGTTGGACTTCCTCTGCAACACTTAAGACACTTGACCCTCGTTGCTCCAGAGGTGGTCGACCTCTGACACACATAGCAACTGTAAGTCAGCTAAATGAGTAAATGTAAACCAGTGAGTCTCAGTGGAGTTTTTTCGGGAGGCCAGTGAAAAGGTCATTACAGTAATGAAGTCGGCTTGAATCAGTTGTTTTGCTTTTGGATTTATTATGGATTCGTCTGTGGCAGGATCATGTTGGTGGTTAGAGGCGTTTAAACGTATTCCATTTCAGACTACGGATTAATATCAGCTTTTTCATGCATGACCAACATCTTTCCCCAAGTTTAACCAAGTGTTTAGTTGCCTTGTCTTACTCACACTTCAGACTTTTTATAAGCAGCTCAGTTGAAACCTACTTTTGTCCATGTGCACAGTAACAATCTTGAAGTTTTTCCACAGCAGAATCGGATAATAAACTCTGATGTTTTAACGTTTCAGACTTTTACCAGTCCATGTAAACCCGGGAAAAGAAAGATCACAGAGGGCTGACCAACAAAACGGTGTTTGTTTTTCAGGTGAAATTATTAAGAATAATTTACAGCTTATCTGAATCTAAACTAAGTAGGTACATAGGATGGATAATATCCTACAATAGATGTTCTGATGTTTTGCTAATCATATATATATATACAGTGGGTACGGAAAGTATTCAGACCCCTTTAAATTTTTCAATCTTTGTTTCATTGCAGCCATTTTCCAAAAATCAAAAAAGTTCATTTTATTTCTCAGTAATGTACACTCAGCACCCCATCTTGACAGAAAAAAACAGAAATGTAGAAATTTTTGCAAATTTATTAAAAAAGAAAAACTGAAATATCACATGGTCATAAGTATTCAGACCCTTTGCCGTGACACTCATATTTAACTCAGGTGCTGTCTATTTCTTCTGATCATCCTTGAGATGGTTCTACACCTTCATTTGAGTCCAGCTGTGTTTGATTATACTGATTGGACTTGATTAGGAAAGCCACACACCTGTCTATATAAGACCTTACAGCTCACAGTGCATGTCAGAGCAAATGAGAATCATGAGGTCAAAGGAACTGCCTGAAGAGCTCAGAGACAGAATTGTGGCAAGGCACAGATCTGGCCAAGGTTACAAAAAAATTTCTGCTGCACTTAAGGTTCCTAAGAGCACAGTGGCCTCCATAATCCTCAAATGGAAGACGTTTGGGACGACCAGAACCCTTCCTAGAGCTGGCCGTCCGGCCAAACTGAGCTATCGGGGGAGAAGAGCCTTGGTGAGAGAGGTAAAGAAGAACCCAAAGGTCACTGTGGCTGAGCTCCAGAGATGCAGTCGGGAGATGGGAGAAAGTTGTAGTAAGTCAACCATCACTGCAGCAATCCACCAGTCGGGGCTTTATGGCAGAGTGGCCCGACGGAAGCCTCTCCTCAGTGCAAGACACATGAAAGCCCGCATGGAGTTTGCTAAAAAACACCTGAAGGACTCCAAGATGGTGATAAATAAGATCCTCTGGTCTGATGAGACCAAGATAGAACTTTTTGGCCTTAATTCTAAGCGGTATGTGTGGAGAAAACCAGGCACTGCTCATCACCTGTCCAATACAGTCTCAACAGTGAAGCATGGTGGTGGCAGCATCATGCTGTGGGGGTGTTTTTCAGCTGCAGGGACAGGACGACTGGTTGCAATCGAGGGAAAGATGAATGCGGCCAAGTACAGGGATATCCTGGACGAAAACCTTTTCCAGAGCGCTCTGGACCTCAGACTGGGCCGAAGGTTTACCTTCCAACAAGACAATGACCCTAAGCACACCGCTAAAATAACGAAGGAGTGGCTTCACAACAACTCCGTGGCTGTTCTTGAATGGCCCAGCCAGAGCCCTGACTTAAACCCAATTGAGCATCTCTGGAGAGACCTGAAAATGGCTGTCCACCAACGTTTACCATCCAACCTGACAGAAGTGGAGAGGATCTGCAAGGAGGAATGGCAGAGGATACCCAAATCCAGATGTGAAAAACTTGTTGCATCTTTCCCAAAACGACTCATGGCTGTATTAGATCAAAAGGGTGCTTCTACTAAATACTGAGCAAAGGGTCTGAATACTTATGACCATGTGATATTTCAGTTTTTCTTTTTTAATAAATTTGCAAAAATTTCTACATTTCTGTTTTTTTCTGTCAAGATGGGGTGCTGAGTGTACATTACTGAGAAATAAAATGAACTTTTTTGATTTTTGGAAAATGGCTGCAATGAAACAAAGAGTGAAAAATTTAAAGGGGTCTGAATACTTTCCGTACCCACTGTATATATATATATAGAGAGAGAGAGAGAGAGAGGGGTTTAAATCAGTGAACATGTTGTGAAAACCACAGTAATACAGCACAAACATCACTGCATCACAAAATATCAGTTGGAAGTTAAGTTACTAGTGTGGATGCTGGGAGGCGCTGCTGGCTTCCTCTGATTGGTTATATTTCTCGGGCTGTTCATATCAGTTTGTCTGCATTCCAGCTGATGGAGGTCTGCCGACTGAAACCAGTAGTAAAGGAGGTACAAGTGAACAACAAGGTCTTTCCTGTTGGTTCTCACAGACAAAAATCACCTCAAGCTTCATGCAGTCAGGAGTTCCTCTGGATAATCCACAACTCTCACTGTCTTTTAATGAAAAGGTCAGACTTCAGTAAAAAGATCTGTCTCCAGTGAGTTCTGTGGGTTATCCAGAGGGACGGGGACTGTCTCCTTTGACTGGACCTTTTTTGTGTCGTGATGGAAGCAGAAATTTCCGAACCTGGATACCATCTGAGTGGACGGACAAGAGACGCGGGACATGATGATGTTTTTGTTATTTGGCTTAGCTGGATAATGAACCCTTCTTGTCCTGTACATGACATGAAATGCAGTCAGACTATGAGTCCACTCACTCTGTCCTGATGGCCTGTACGAGTCAGCCAGTTCACGTCCACATCAGCCAAACTGGTCCCAGCTGAGAGCAGGAACACCAGCATCATCCAGGGCAGGAGATTCATCTGAACAGCAGAACATCAGTGTTTAGTTGACCTCCCAGTTAATCAGTTCAACTCCTAAATGATCGAAAAGTTTCTCACCTTCACTGCTGTTTCCAACAAGCTGCTCGTCTCCAACAAGCTGCAACAGGAAAGATTCAAAAGTAAATGAACCTGCAGCAAAGTGAAACCAGGTTCTGGACTGAATTCAGCTCAGGACAAACTGCTGTTGGCGGTTTATTTACCTGCTCAGGTGGAGGAAGCTTTCTGCTGTCTTCAGCTGTACAAGTGGAGGCGGTGATGCTGTTTGCAGTAATTTATAGGGGGGAGGGCGGGGCAGGACAGGCAGTCCTCAGCTTAATCAAGACATTTAAAAATGGGGAAGAAAGAAAAGATGTTATCACACATCTGAAACCTCCCTGTCCACTGACTCCATCCGTAAAACTAGATCTTAATGAAATATGAGAAATGTTTTTTGTTTCTGGACTCAAAAAGAACGATCACGGTCAGGTAAACTAGCTTAAAAGCTGATTGTGAATCACATAAACCAGTTTAAAACCTGTTTCAGATCTAGATTCTCTGTGTGGCTCGTGGTCAGTAAAGAAAGACAAATCATCTTTAACTGTCACATAGAGTCCAGATGCAGGAAATCAGTGGGAGCCTTTACTCACTAATACAGCTCGTTACCAGCTTGTAAACCTCCAGAGGTCATCAGAAAATCCTTTAATAGCAGCTTAATGAGCCCTGCAATGAATCTCTGATACAAACCCCTGATGTTCACCCTTTCTGACTGAAATTACAACTGATTTTAAAAAGAATTCATCAGGACTGATTCAAGAAATGATCAGATGTCTGTTAATTCCTTAAAGTCTGAACTTTCAGCTGTTTAGAAAAAGGTGAAGACGACAATCTGTGATCTGTGTGTTGAAATGTTGAACTTCCTCAGTGTTGAACAGAGATAAGATGACGACTTCTGCTGCCTGGATGACCGACACTTTCACCTGAAACCAACTGCTGTGTTTACAAAGAGGTTTCATCATCTGTCAGCAAGGGTCAAACGTCAGAGGCCTGGTTTCAGAGATCTGGGGACTGGTATTAGAGGTCTGGGGACTGGTTTCAGAGGTCAGAGGCCTGGTTTCAGAGGTCTTAGGCCTGGTTGCAGAGGTCTTAGGCCTGGTTTTAGAGGTCTTGGGCCTGGTTGCAGAGGCCTTGGGCCTGGTTGCAGAGGTCTGGGGCCTGGTTTTAGAGGTCTTAGGCCTGGTTGCAGAGGTCTTAGGCCTGGTTTTAGAGGTCTTAGGCCTGGTTTCAGAGGTCTTAGGCCTGGTTGCAGAGGTCTTAGGCCTGGTTTTAGAGGTCTTGGGCCTGGTTGCAGAGGTCTGGGGCCTGGTTTTAGAGGTCTTAGGCCTGGTTTTAGAGGTCTGGGGACTGGTTTTAGAGGTCTGGGGACTGGATGCAGAGGTCTGGGGACTGGATGCAGAGGTCTGGGGACTGCTTGCAGAGGTCTGGGGACTGGATGCAGAGGTCTGAGGACTGGTTTTAGAGGTCTGGGGACTGGTTGCAGAGGTCTGAGGCTTGGTTGCAGAGGTCTGAGGCTTGGTTTCAGAGGTCTGAGGCCTGGTTTTAGAGGTCTGAGGCCTGGTTTTAGAGGTCAGAGACCTGGTTTTAGAGGTCAGAGACCTGGTTTCAGAGGTCTGGGGACTGGTTGCAGATGTCTGAGGACTGGTTTTAGAGGTCTGGGGCCTGGATGCAGAGGTCTGAGGCCTGGGTTTAGAAGTCTTAGGCCTGGTTGCAGAGGTCTGAGGACTGGTTTTAGAGGTCTGAGGACTGGTTTTAGAGGTCTGGGGACTGGTTTTAGAGGTCTGGGGACTGGATGCAGAGGTCTGGGGACTGGTTGCAGAGGTCTGGGGACTAATTGCAGAGGTCTGAGGCCTGGTTTTAGAGGTCTGGGGACTGGTTGCAGAGATCTGGGGCCTGGTTGCAGAGGTCTGAGGCCTGGTTGCAGAGGTCTGAGGCCTGGTTGCAGAGGTCTTGGGCCTGGTTGCAGAGGTCTGGGGACTGGTTTTAGAGGTCTGGGGACTGGTTTTAGAGGTCTGGGGACTGGTTTTAGAGGTCTGGGGACTGGATGCAGAGGTCTGGGGACTGGTTGCAGAGGTCTTCGGCCTGGTTGCAGAGGTCGGCCTGGTTGCAGAGGTCAGAGGCCTGGTTGCAGAGGTCTTGGGCCTGGTTGCAGAGGTCTGGGGACTGGTTGCAGAGGTCTGAGCCCTGGTTTTAGAGGTCTTTCACCTGAAATCCAGCTGCTCACAGTGGGTCTCTCTGCTATTTGAGTAAAGAGATCAGGTTTTTCCTAAACATTTCACCACAATTGTGGTTAAAGCTCTTGGTCTGAAGTCTATGTTTTCAGATGGACAGACCTTCTTAGGCACCAGAGCAATGACACAGTGTCAGCTCCTCAGCAGAAAAGACGAAACTGTGATCAGTGTGTTGAAATGTTGAACTTCCTCATTGTGGAAGAGAGATAAGATGAAGACTTCTGCTGCCTGGATGACCGACACTTTCACCTGAAACCAACTGCTGTGTTTTCAAAGAGGTTTCATCATCTCCCACTGAGGGTCAAACGTTAGAGGCCTGGTTTCAGAGGTCTGAGGACTAAAGACCACTGCAGTAGTGGACACTGCTGGCGTCAGTGGTCTGACAAAGAGAAGTGGTTAGGTGGGAGGGCTACGTAAATGTGGGTATCATCAGCGTAGATATGAGAACAGATCTTCAAGTGGGAGCACATGAAAGTTAAATAATAAAGGCCCTAAAATCGGCCCCTGGGGGACACCACAGGTCAAGATCGTTGGTGTTGTAGTTTCCAGTGTCCCAATGATTTGAGCCATTGGATTTGCAACATTTCCGGTAATGTTTGGTTGGTTTGATGGCTGACAGACGGGATCCTGTTGGGTTAGGATGCAGATGATCCGGATCAAAGAGTTCATTCAGCTTCAGACAAAAAGGAATAAAAGCTCTGAACTAACAAATAAAACCTGAGTAAGCTAAAAACAAAGAGTTCAGCAGATCAGCAGACTGTAATCCTGTAAAACAAACTAACACATATTTCATGTCTTCTAGAGACGTTTTTTTATTGTAATCTGATGTGAAGCGCTGTGAGGTGACCTGTGAGGAAGTGAAGAGACGTCTGAAGGAGGAAACACAGGAAATGCAGTCTGATAAACTGGGACTGATGAGTTGTGTTTGTTTCTCCAGCTGGAACCAGGATGGATGTTCATCTGCCCTCCATCAGACCGGAGGAGGAGGAGGAGGAGGAGGTTAGCGCAGCAGCAGATCCAGACTCCTCCACCAACGATGTTTTCTAGAGGGAAACTGAGGCCAGACGTCCGTCCATCAACATCTTCGTCTTTATTTGATTCAGTTCTGAACTGGTTGATGAGTTTCACAGCTGAGGAGAAATTTATCTTCATCCTCCTCTTTAACAGCAAACACGTCTTTCTTTCCACTGAAGTCTGTTTGATGAGGCTTCCTGTGACCTTTGACCTCTGTCCACCCGGTCAGCTGCCTGAAGCCTGAATAAATGGTTTTAATAAACTTTGACCTTCTCTGACTTCTTCTGCTGTCTCCTTGCTGGTGGTGTTTCTCAGAGTCAGTGTTTCTGTAGCTTTTCTTCTCAGGAGAAACTTCACCACGTCCCTCCTGGAGGGGTTTTACTAACCGCTCTGCTCTCATCGCTCCGACGCCGGCTGACTTCTGCAGGAGGGAAACAAACAGGTTTCATCCTCGATGAACGCGTTAGAAATGATGGAAAGGTAAATGTAAACCAGACTTCTTACTTCTTTACCTGAAGAGGTCGTGTTGAGCTCATTTTCAGGTTCCTCATTTGATTTGGAGCAGAGCAGGTTTACACCAGATCTCTGCTGCAGCTCCTCTTTTCACTCTGCATGTTGAAGCATCTCACTTCTAGTAGATCTTGGTTGGGAGCTACCCTTCACCGTCCGGATGAGACGCCCTGTGTAGACCGAAAGCGCTAGGTAGCTAGCTATGTTAGTGTAAAAGGCGTTGACAGCTTCCCAAAGCAGGCAGATCTGCGGTGACCTCCTTTGACTGACAGAACCACTTCTGAGCATGTGCAGAGCGGATCAGGCCGGCGGTACGGATTGGGCACTGACAGTTCCTCTCTCTGCCTCTCTGTGACTTCCTTTTCTGATTATCTGATCAGCTGAGTTTACTGATCAGGTCAGCAGCTGACAGTGAATGTGGAGAGCGCCCTCTGCTGGACCACAAGGTAAACTACTTCAAACCCGTGTTCTGACTGGAAACACTTTAATATTATATTTTTCTCACGTTTGAACAAACCTTTGAATAAAAATTGGTGGCAGCCCTGCTGCAGACACTTAGTCCATAAATGTAGTTTTACTGTTTTCTGACATTTTATAAATTAAACAAGTCACGTCTTTTTTTTGTTAATTGATAATAAGTGAGCAGACCAGTGGTTCCCAAAGAGACTCGTCGTCAGCACGAGTCTGTCAGATGCTTTGTGATGTGAAGAGGAAACTCCTTTAACACTCAGTGTGTGTGTGTGTGTGTTAATGGTGTTGATTGACAGGTGGCCTCAGAGCGCTCTGCAGGCACTGACGAGGTCACACTAAACCCAAACACCGCTCTGATTGACAGCCGTCAGTCACACTGAAGGGTCCTGTCTCATTCACCTCATTGCTGCTTTTATTCCCCAACCATCACTAATCAATACATCAGGGACAAACCTCATGATCACACTCTGACATCATCACGTCTCTGTTTCTTCCAGATGTGTCTCAAGTCAGTTTTGAAGAGACCAATCAGGGCTCGGTTACCGTGGATCCAGTCGGTACTCTGACCTCAGACCTGCAGACCGACCTGTCGCTGTCTCCTCCCCCACACCTGGAGAACACACACATACTGCAGTCCTGGTCCGACAGTACGACCCAAAGACAGGTAGGGAGCTCACAGTTTGAAGTGGGGCTGAGGACCCGTCCACATACTTTTGGCCACATGGTGAGTGAATGTTAATCCTAGGCTGTCCACCAGAGGGCGCCGTGTCTGCAGCGTTCACTGTGAAACAGCTGTGCTGAGGACACACAGTCCTCTTCTGTCTGTCTCCCAGTCAGCTGTACTGGGTCCACTGGTCTGTCTTTGTGTTTTATTCAGATCAATAACTGATCAGATCAAATCAGCTGTTCCTACTGTAAACACTGCAGGAGGAGGAACAACGAGAGCTGAGTGTAGAGCAGGAAGCATCAGCACACTGACTGCTGTTTAATTATACATAGAAACACACAAACACACAGGAAGCTGCTGTCACTCTCTGATTAGTAATGTGCGGTTTTTATTTCTACTTTTTCCCACAAACCGGGAGGAAAATCCAAAATACACATAACCTGTAACAGATATTAATAAATATACGACTATGTTGCACTATTATTATTTTCACTGTGGACTAAACTACCAACTCTTTCTGCATTAACAGATAAGAATGTTCTAACATGTTGATGATAATCAGATACATATAACAGGAGATCGTCTGCAAACAAATTTACGTGCTGCACGTTTTTAGCCAGCAGCTTCTGCAGCTGGACAGGTGAAAGGTGTCAGGTGACCACCCGGACCAGTTTTCACCACTGCAGAGTCCCAGGTTCTGGTTCTGGTATTTCATCTTCATTTCAAAATAATACTCTTAAACCAGTCAGCTGCCAGAAAATCCAAACTCTTCAACTTCACTAAAAAGTTCGTGTTTGGTATTAATATTTTTTGATAATTAACTAACTGAAATCCTTCCATTTTCAGTTCATCAGGTGATCACTGTGTGTTGATCAGTTTCTGGGATGAAGTCAGACATGGCAGGTTTGATGCTGAATCAAGCTTTATTCAAAATGAACATGCAGCACAATAACAGGTCTTTGCTTTGACTTTTGGGAAAATAAAAATGTTGTGAATTCACAGAGAACAGGAGGCATCTAAACTATAAAATATGATCATTATTAAACATGTAATCGTTCATTATAGTGACATGCCACAAGATAATTCACTAAATAATATATGTGTAGCAGGAAATCAAAGCTTTTACATCTGTGATGATCAAACGTTATTTAATGGGATTATCTCAGTGGGAACCACTGCCACGTATCTTATACTGGGACCAGAAACATCTGACTGTAGAAATACATGACTCTGAAAACAGGATGTGGTTCATTACATGTTTCTTCAGCTGATGTCTGAAAAGACACAAACAGAAGCATCTATTTGTTTATTTAAAGCAGAAGCTTTCGCAGTGAACTAATGAGCTGCGACAGGAAACTGCTGCGCTGTTAAGGATCGAGAATCTTCCTGTCTCAGGATTCATGTTGTAATAAACCACCTGAGTCCCAGCAGAGTGCTGAACTGCTCTAATCTCTGCTGACATACCCTCTCCTCCTACTGCTGCTTCTGCTCCTGTCTCTGCGTCTCTTTCTGCTGCTGTGTCTATCTCTGCCTCTGTTGTTGTCTCTCTTCCTACTGCTGCTTCTACTGCTGCTCTCTACTTCTGCTCCTGTCTCTGCGTCTCTTTCTGCTGCTGTGTCTATCTCTGCCTCTATTGTTGTCTCTCCTCCTACTGCTGCTTCTGCTTCTGCTGCTGTGTCGATCTCTGCCTCTGTTGTCTCCGTGTATGTTCCTGCTTCCTCCCTGTCCCGGCTTAAAGTTATTATCAACACAAACTTCTGAAACTGTCTGCTCTGACGAGCAGCTGTAGCACTGAAATCCAAAATTTTCTGGTTTGAAACAGCGGTAAATGTTTTGGAGACCAAGCCCAGAATTCCCAAGGTCTTGCATTGTATTTATCAACGTTTTTTTATGAATTCTACCACCACTACGAGGCTTATCAAAGACTGTTGTAAACACAAAGGCATAATTACCCCAAGGTGATAGATTTTCTTTTGTTAAGTATTGAAGGATGTTGTCATTATCATTATTTGGGTTTGCACACCTTTGTCCACACGGGGACAGGAAAGAGTAGATGAGCAGGAAGTTATTCTTTCTGTTTCCACTAAATTTTTGCAGGTTTGTCAGGACTCGAAATTCTGCATGGTCATTTTGTCCTTTGTTTTCAGGTTTGGCTATGATAATACTGTTGCCTGTATATACTTTATTTTGCGTTTCAACTGTGTCTTTAACACCTCGTTCTTCCCAAAGCATTTTACCAAGTGTGTTTTGGTCTCCGCTCAGTGGGATGTTCGCAGCCAGACAGTAATGTCCTGTTATCCTGTACCTGTTGAAGGAGAAAGATGCACAAACTGTAACATAGGACTGAGATGATCTGATACAGAGAGGAAGGTCAAAACTCTGGGGTCGTATTCACAGAGGATCTGACCTCTGCACAAGCAGCTCTCCTACACATCACTAACACACAAATTTATCTGAAGAGCTTTGCACAAAGCTGCTGAGAGAAGACAAGGAGTTTTAAGCTGATATAAAGTTCTTTCACTCCAGAAAGTCTCATAGACATCTGTGTAGGATCATAAACTCTGACTGTGAAAGCTGAAATTCATAAAACAAACAGCACCGGTACCATAAACACAGTACGTCCATGTAAACCCGGAAGATGAAATACCAGCAGTTCCTCCATCTGAACTAATGAAAGTCAATCAGCTCTTCTGAGTGTGAACAAAAAACTGTGAAAATCTTAATACCAGTTCGAAGTTAAGTCATTTCTATGGATGCTGGGAGGCGCTGCTGTCTTCCTCTGATTGGTTATATTTCCCGGGCTGTTAATATGAGTTTGTCTACATTGTGCCTGATGGAGGTCTGCAGCCCGAATCTTTGTTAATAAAGTCCTGACAAGTGAACAAAAGTGTGCAGGATTCTTTGTTTTTTTTCACGTGTCCACATTGCACAAAATCTGATCTTCCCTGCAGCCAGAACACGATCACAGCAGTTTCCAGTGAACTTCCTGTTTGATCTCCTCGACATCAACAGCTAAAGTCCGGCTTCATAGAGACCCATCAGAAATAAAATCCATGTTCCTCTGGATAATCCACAACTCTCACTGTCACCAGTTTTTATTGAAAAAGTTAGAATTCAGTAAAGAGTCCTGATGAAAACTGTCCTCAGTGAGTTCTGTGGATCATCCAGAGGAACAGGGACTCTGTTGACAGAAAGTTTTAACATATACAGATATTTCCAAACCTGGAGACATAAAACTATCTGAGTGGGCAGATTAGAGGGAGCTAATGATGCTTTTAAACCTGGGTTAACTGACACTTCATGTCCTGTAAATGGCATAAAATACAGTCACACTGCGAGTTTACTCACTGACTCCTGACGTGCGTTGTGATGGCCTGTACAGTACGAGTCAGCCAGTCCACGTCCACATCAGCCAAACTGGTCCCAGCTGAGAGCAGGAACACCAGCATCATCCAGGGCAGGAGATTCATCTGAACAGCAGAACATCAGTGTTTAGTTGTCCTCCCAGTTAATCAGTTCAACTCCTAAATGATCGAAAAGTTTCTCACCTTCACTGCTGTTTCCAACAAGCTGCTCGTCTCCAACAAGCTGCAACAGGAAAGATTCAAAACTAAATGAACCTGCAGCAAAGTGAAACCAGGTTCTGGACGGAATTCAGCTCTGGACAAACTGCTGTTGGTGGTTTATTTACCTGCTCAGGTGGAGGAAGCTTTCTGCTGTCTTCAGCTGTACAAGTGGAGGCGGTGATGCTGTTTGCAGTAATTTATAGGGGGGAGGGCAGGGCAGGACAGGCAGTCCTCAGCTTTATCAAGACATTTAAAAATGGGGAAGAAAGAAAAGATGTTATCACACATCTGAAACCTCCCTGTCCACTGACTCCATCCGTAAAACTAGATCTTAATGAAATATGAGAAATGTTTTTTGTTTCTGGACTCAAAAAGAACGATCACGGTCAGGTAAACTAGCTTAAAAGCTGATTGTGAATCACATAAACCAGTTTAAAACCTTTTTCAGATCTAGATTCTCTGTGTGGCTCGTGGTCAGTAAAGAAAGACAAATCATCTTTAACTGTCACATAGAGTCCAGATGCAGGAAATCAGTGGGAGCCTTTACTCACTAATACAGTTCGTTACCAGCTTGTAAACCTCCAGAGGTCATCAGAAAATCCTTTAATAGCAGGTTAATGAGCCCTGCAATAAATCTCTGATACAAACCCCTGATGTTCACTCTTTCTGACTGAAATTACAACTGATTTTAAAAAGAATTCATCAGGACTGATTCAAGAAATGATCAGATGTCTGTTAATTCCTTAAAGTCTGAACTTTCAGCTGTTTAGAAAAAGGTGAAGACGACAATCTGTGATCTGTGTGTTGAAATGTTGAACTTCCTCAGTGTGGAACAGAGATAAGATGACGACTTCTGCTGCCTGGATGACCGACACTTTCACCTGAAACCAACTGCTGTGTTTACAAAGAGGTTTCATCATCTGTCAGCGAGGGTCAAACGTCAGAGGCCTGGTTTCAGAGGTCTTAGGCCTGGTTGCAGAGATCTGGGGACTGGTTGCAGAGGTCTGAGGCCTGGTTGCAGAGGTCTTGGGCCTGGTTGCAGAGGTCTGGGGACTGGTTTTAGAGGTCTGGGGACTGGTTTTAGAGGTCTGGGGACTGGTTTTAGAGGTCTGGGGACTGGATGCAGAGGTCTGGGGACTAATTGCAGCGGTCTGGGGACTAATTGCAGAGGTCTGAGGCCTGGTTTTAGAGGTCTTAGACCTGGTTTTAGAGGTCTGAGGCCTGGTTTTAGAGGTCTGAGGCCTGGTTTTAGAGGTCTTAGACCTGGTTTTAGAGGTCTTGGGCCTGGTTGCAGAGGTCTGAGGCTTGGTCGCAGAGGTCTTGGGCCTGGTCGCAGAGGTCTGAGGCCTGGTTTTAGAGGTTTTAGACCTGGTTGCAGAGGTCTGGGGACTGGTTGCAGATGTCTGAGGCCTGGTTTTAGAGGTTTTAGACCTGGTTTTAGAGGTCTGGGGACTGGTTGCAGATGTCTGAGGCCTGGTTTTAGAGGTCTGGGGCCTGGATGCAGAGGTCTGAGGCCTGGGTTTAGAAGTCTTAGGCCTGGTTGCAGAGGTCTGAGGACTGGTTTTAGAGGTCTGGGGACTGGTTTTAGAGGTCTGGGGACTGGATGCAGAGGTCTGGGGACTGGTTGCAGAGGTCTGGGGACTGGTTTTAGAGGTCTGGGGACTGGTTTTAGAGGTCTGGGGACTGGTTTTAGAGGTCTGGGGACTGGTTTTAGAGGTCTGGGGACTGGATGCAGAGGTCTGGGGACTAATTGCAGCGGTCTGGGGACTAATTGCAGAGGTCTGAGGCCTGGTTTTAGAGGTCTTAGACCTGGTTTTAGAGGTCTGAGGCCTGGTTTTAGAGGTCTGAGGCCTGGTTTTAGAGGTCTTAGACCTGGTTTTAGAGGTCTTGGGCCTGGTTGCAGAGGTCTGAGGCTTGGTCGCAGAGGTCTTGGGCCTGGTCGCAGAGGTCTGAGGCCTGGTTTTAGAGGTTTTAGACCTGGTTGCAGAGGTCTGGGGACTGGTTGCAGATGTCTGAGGCCTGGTTTTAGAGGTTTTAGACCTGGTTTTAGAGGTCTGGGGACTGGTTGCAGATGTCTGAGGCCTGGTTTTAGAGGTCTGGGGCCTGGATGCAGAGGTCTGAGGCCTGGGTTTAGAAGTCTTAGGCCTGGTTGCAGAGGTCTGAGGACTGGTTTTAGAGGTCTGGGGACTGGTTTTAGAGGTCTGGGGACTGGATGCAGAGGTCTGGGGACTGGTTGCAGAGGTCTGGGGACTAATTGCAGAGGTCTGAGGCCTGGTTTTAGAGGTCTGAAGACTGGTTTTAGAGGTCAGAGGCCTGGTTTTAGAGGTCAGAGACCTGGTTTCAGAGGTCAGAGGCCTGGTTTTAGAGGTCTGGGGACTGGTTTTAGAGGTCTGGGGACTGGTTGCAG